TTTCTCTCCCTGATTGATGTGTTTCGAATCACCCCCCCATAATTTTTCTGCCCGGGGGCAAACTTCTCCGCAAGAACATGGACGGATAGAGAGGGGCGGGTGCCCCGTCGGGTGGATGGAGAGGGTAGAGTTTTATCTCGACATGCGATGCGGCCGTATCGATTGGTACTTCCCTCAGCGTCGCTCACTTATACCGGTTTATCCCCCGCCCCTCTACCGCCCTCCCGGGGAAGGTCCATCCTACCCCATCACGTCCGAACAGAAGAGGGCGGAAGCGCACAAGAGTGGGAAAGGAGGAGAGAGAGAGAGAGAGCGAGCGCGTCTCGGTCTGATCCCACCTCGGCGGTCCTCGCGAGCAGGGCGGTACGGGCGCGGGGGGCGCGAGGCCCGGCCCGCCGGCTTTTTATTGCCGCCATCAAGGGGCTGATGGAGGCCGACTCCGGAGCGAAGGCCAGGGAAGCAGGAAAGGGCGTGAGCAAATAAAAGTAAGTAATCCGAATCGCGTTATCGGAAACAAATAACGCCAAGGTGAAGGCAAGGGGGTGGTCCAGCAGCAGTATCCCCCTCCCAACGAGGTCCATTGGAGGCCGTCCGTCAGTCTTCACAGGTTGGCCAAGACTGGCCTTCCGAGTAGCTTAGATCATACCCCCCCCCCCCCCCCTTTTCCCCTTTTAAGTGTCCTATAGCTGGGCTCACGAAGAAGGGCAGCAAACGCATCACCAAAGTCTACGGCGCGAAATGCCAAAAGTTGCCAAAAGGTCAACTGCACAACTGCACCCCTCCCCCACTCCTCCCGGTCCGGAGAGCACCTGGGGGCACTCACCTCGAGCGCTTTTAACAAAACTGAAATGTGGTCGGCAATCGAACACAGCGATTCGTCTAATGAGCCCCCCAAAGTTGTAAATGGGGCGACACACTGTTCTCGTTGAGATCAAGTGAGAAAACAATGACTGCCCCGTTCAAAATGTGTACGCACCCTCACAATCGGTGGCACCACCTCAAACAGCTCATTCTGGGGAGCCCACCTCTCGGCCGTGGACCGTCGTCGTCGTCGTGGAGTCAGCCGCCGTCGTGGGGAGGGCAGGAGGCAGCTCTCCGCGAGGTCCGCGTGCCGTGCGGTGCGGGGGCGCGAGGGCCGGACTGGGCTCCTCGCCGCTCTGCTGCTCGCCGCTCTGCTGCTCGACACTCGCTGTACTGAGAGCAGAGGGGGAGGAGCGGGCTGGCGCGGAGCAGCTGGCGCGTGCAGGGGCCTGCCCCGGCCCCGGGGCGCGCCTGGGGCCCCCGCAGCCCCGCGCAGCCGGCGCAGCCCCGTGCTGAACAGACGAGATGTTTTGCACTGAAATGTCCTCTTTCCAAGGGTGTGTACAAGGTGTGTATGTGCACTGAACACAAAAATAAACAACATAAAAGTGAATTTCATTTGTAAACAATCTTTAATAAAACCTCATAGGGATCTTATATAGGGTCCTCCTTGAAACCAACAATCAACAATACAATTATATTGTTTTATAAAAAGACACCCAGTAAGATAAATGCCAAGTTTTGGCACCTCTCAACATACTCATTATTTTTTAAGTTTGTCAAATGACAACCCAGCATAGCCAAGAAAAAAATATAACAATCCATATTTAAGGCTTATCTGACTTCAACAAGGCACATTTCAGGCTACAGCATCAGACATTAATTTCTATAAGAAATACATTCAGCATGAGCAGATCAAAAATCAGCTGGTAAATTCTATGTTTTAACAAAACATACTCTATTTAACAATAACTTCTCCAGTGTTAATAAATTGAAGTAAAAATCCTAGCGCAGCTTCCATGGGAGGACTATTGACTGCTGTAGTCATGAACACTATTAAAATTTGAATAGACAAGCTAGTAAGAATGCTGCTCCGATAACATGATTCAGTCATAAGTCTGAGATATCAAATTGAGTTCCTGACTTCAAAATATTGCAAGACAGTCCGTTGTATGAAGACAGGAATGAAGTAGAAAAACTAAGACAATCAAATAAGCAACTTAAACATTTTTCTTTTTTTTCTTCGGCGTTTGTGAGTCACTAGATACAGATTTCCTTTTAAAAGAAGACATTTTTTCAGACTTAGAGCCATTAATCTTAGAGAAACTATTATCAGCAAGAGTATCCTCATCGTCAGGTTCCCTGCCATTCAACAAACTGTCATTTACAGAACTAAATGTAACAGAATCAAGACCTTTACCCATCAATGCCATTCTATGTAGCTTTTTATCTTTTCTGTTTTTTCCTTTAGGTAGATTCTGCTTCCTCTGAATTCCATCATCACCTCCTCTGGCATTTCCATTCTGATTTTGCTTGTTAAAGACAGTTTCATTATCTGAGGTTTCCTCATCACTGCTATCACCATTTAAAACAGCTGCATTTTCTGCCTTCCCTTTCTTAACCTTTCTTAATGAGCTGTCAACAAAGAGATATTTTGTAAAACAAATAAAAGACATTGAAGCAATATTATCAGAGAGGTCACAGAGCAATACTCACCTAATATCAAAGCTCAGTAACTTGCTGAGAGATGTAAGGACTTTCTTGGTTTCTGCTGGGACTCCTCCACAGTTTTGACAGAATGAATCCAGAGCAGAGGACAAAGTTGAAGTATTTGCAGGTTTGGTATCAGACCTAGCCAAGAGTTGCTGAATAAGTTTCAGCACACTTGCCAATAAGTGGTGATTTTGCCGAGGTTGAACCCTTGCACTTGAATCATTTTCAGAGCTCAGTAACTCAATAGTGTTGTCTATGACAGAGGAGACAATTTTTTTCAAGGCCTGTTTCTGCTTTTGATCCGCAGAGTTTAATAGATGATTGTTTCTAAAGAAGGTAGATAAGAGTTCTATTGCCTGGCCTCTTCGGAATGGACGAACTTTTGAGTCAAATGCATGTTGCACAATTACAGGTGCAACGGACCAGCACCCATTCCATTGAAGATTAATGACTGACTTGAACATATTGTTGGGAAGAAGAGTGTCTCTCTTGGTGCAGAAGTCAATAAAGAGGGACTCAATAACATCGGCAACAAGGTTTTTCTTCGCTGAGCTTTGCTGATTTGAGGATTGAGACCTGATAAACTCAGAGCATCTCACTAAAAATGTACAACAATCAGAAATCAAATCAGCCAAACCTAAAAATGTGGTTGCGCTGCGAACACCTTTGCCTGCTAGAGATTTTATGAGCTCAGCAAGTGATTGCTCATTGACTCCACCCATTGATGAGAATTTTTTCAAACTTGTCAGTTTATGTAAGATGCTTTTGGTTTTCATTTCAAGAGGTTTCTGGTGAACATCTTTCATAGAGAAGGCCAGAAGTGACAGCAGTGGTGTAATGCACTCCAGACATATGTCCATGGAAGGTTCACGTGAAATGTAAATCTCAACTAAATCAAGGACACGATTTCTGAAATGAGTAACTGCCTCCTCACTCTTAAGCTGTTTCTTGCTCTTCTTACTGCTCCTAGATTGACGTAAGTTTTTGAAAGCTTGGGATAAGGCTGTGTCCATACGTTGGCCTTCTTCTTCATCTATGTCATCCAGGTCAACAGATTCAGTGTCAGTCAGAGATGCAGCATTGCCAAGAGCGTACCTCACCTCTTGACGTAATTTGTCATTTATAGTTTCATCCATGTCTTCATCATCATCAAAATCTTCAAAACCGTCATCTAGATCATTTTCTTTATCTGGATCATCACTTTCATCGTTCTCATTTGATTCACTGTCATCACTATCCTCATCTGAATTTTCTTCACTTGAATTTTCTTGGTGCTTTCCTTTCCCATTAACATTTTTCTGTGTCACTGTCTCCGAATTATCTTCATCATCTGATGAACTTTCATCATTAGAGTCATCAGCATCAGTAGCTGAAGTTAAAGGATTTTCATTCTGGTCAGGGTCCAAGACTTCCAATATCTGATAAAAGGCTGACACAGAAAGATGTTTACTTAGATGAGGAAAAACTGTGCCAACAATTGTTCTTAATAAATGAGAATCATGTGAGAGAAGTGAAAGGAAAAGATCAATCGTCACTTCAACCCATTGAGGCTCTTCTTGTTTTGAGTCTTGCTTGCCACTTTTAACCCGATCATAACAGCTGTGGAGTTCTTGAAGAGATCCAGCGGCCATATCTGGATCTGATATGAGCTGAAGTCCCATGAAAAGGAAAAGGACATGGAATATCCGCTCAGCAGACTCTTTGTTTCCATTGGATACATTCTTAGACTCAAGCTGGGAAATTGTCTTCAGCATTTTGCGCCAGGCTAAAGATGCCTGAAAAGATTTTTAAGAAAAGAAAAATATCAGTAAAAAAGTAAAAACAAAACTATGAAGTACCGATATTACGGGAAAATAAAGTGTGGTATGCAACATGACGGTTAATGCTCACCTCTTTACTGAAAGGTATTCTTACAGTCTGTGTTGCTTTTTCTTGCTTTACCAATTGCTCATTAATATGCTGGACTATTTGACTCAAAACACCAATCATAGTATCAATGTTTGAAAACTTCTGGTCCAATGCTCTGAAGAAACAGTGTCTCAAAGTTCCTATAACAGGCAACATTACAGATTATATAAAAAAAAAATACTTTTGAGGCGTCAAAACTGTGGGGAGTGGGGAGAAAAAAATATCAATAAGCAACCAGGAAAAGGACGTACCAGCCAATTCAACCCCAATGGTACTTGAGGAATCCTGACGGAATATGCCACGATGCAAAAGGAAAAGAAGCTGCTCAACTTTCCATTCAATTTCACTGTTACATGCTTGGTGACCAATCAATCTGAACATTATAAAAATATGATACAATGAAAACCATGAATTAAAAGAAATACTATAAAACAAAGTTCTGATTCCTTACCTAGTTAGCTGTTGAGCAGCAAATTTGCGGTCTTTGTTAGTCCAAACCTTACCATTTGTTGGAGATGTACCATCAACAACCTCCTTAAATTGCTTGGCAAGCTTTACAACCCCTTTTTTGGTGAGTTTGTTTTCTAAAAGTATCGCAATATGAGTGCCTAAAACAAATCATAAAAAACATTAATTAAAAATTACTGAGACATCATAAAGAGTACAAAACAAGCATTTTACAACATACCTGTCTGCTTTTCGTACTGAAGATTACCCGAATCAAAAAGAATCTTTTTCAGAACAGATAATCGAATTTTATCAGTGACGTCATCAGTTGAAAGTGTAGTACCAATGGTGGTGATTGCCTCCCGAGCCAAAGTGTGCAATTCATGGAATATTTTTCTTTCAGCTGGTGGTGCACGCAATATCCGTCCAATCACATCAAGCACTCGAGGAGTGACTAAAACTTCAATCTGTAAAACACATTGAATATAATATGGCTGATTTTTTGAATAGGCCTTGGTCAATTTTTCAAGAAAATTTTGCAAACAATTACCTGTTGCTTATTAGTCATATCTTTCAGAAGAATTGTAAGGATGCGGAGGACAGCAAGATCCTTATTTTTGTTAGATGAAGCTAGTATATTGTCAACATGTACAGTCCAAAATGATTGAAGCAGGTTGTCATTGCTAGGTGAAGACAGACTTTTACAAAATTCATCATAAACAGGATGCTTCACAGTGAGAGAAGTGCTGTTAGCCTAAAATGAAAATAAAAAGGAAAGTAATATAATCAATATGTGACTCATGCCTAAATAACTGAACAACAAATTGATATTCTCAGATACTTCAACATACCACAAGCTTCTGAGCAAAATGTTGCATTGACTCTGGAGACAAAAGGGGGATGCCCAACCACTTTTGAATTGTTTTACTCTTAACAATATTGACAGCTCGGTTGGAAACCAATAACAAGATAGCTAGTGTATCCAAAGATTGGTCCACCCATGGCTTTGAAACTTCATCTTTCAAAACAGGCCACACTGCGTCCATGAGCAAGTGTTCATCACTCTAAAATAAAGATAAAGATCTATCAGTTTCCTTTGTACAAATGGTTCTCAAAATACTGGAAGAACCAGCAAATAAAAATAACAAAATGACAGAAAAAAATGGGAATTATGCTACTTACAGTCTGGATTAAGTCAAGAAGAAAGCTTGAAGAGGCAAAAGGGATATAACTTTTCTTCTTGCCACATTTAAATAGTGTTGATATGATTTGCTTCTGTTGTTCAGTTGAACTTCTGGCAAAGAGACCTCCCCTAATGGCGGCTCCATAGGCAAGTGCCATCCCCATTGTTGACTCTTTTTCTTCCTGCAGGTAATTAACATGTGGAGATCAGAAAATCAGCTAACTCACAGTAACTTTAACTACAGGTCCTTAGGAAATAGAAAACAAAATCACATGTAAAGGAATATAGCTTACCGCATCTTTGGATCCTCCCAATTCTTTGACTACAGTTTCGATGAAATGCTGTCCTGATATTGCAGGAAATGTGTCTAATACACTGACAAGTGCAGTGAAGTATCCTTTCTGCTGCGGCTGGCGAGTCCCCCCCAAACCTCTGACCAAGCGTTTGAGACAGTAGTCAAGACTTTTGGAGACATTTTCTTCCTACATACAAACAAAATACAAAATGAATCATTCAATCAGCTGACAACTAGAGGAGAGTCATCTCTGCGAGGAAAGGATGTAACAAGAATCAAATAGCTCACATCAACTTCTAAGCAAAAGAGACTGAAGTCACCATAATTTTTTCGATTAAACAAATTTCTAGATCCAAACTACTCAAAGGTGTGCAGTGTGTGATGTTGAGGTTAAGTAGAAAATTGTTAAATTAATGGTATCAGCTGATTATAGTAACAGACGAAGTGCTTAATTCAATTACGAGGCAGCTAACATTAAGATTAAGAGGGTAAGATAGAAAAGTCAAGTTAATTTCAACCAAAATACAAACAAACACAACGAAAAATCAAGGTGCAACACGGCACGGAAAACATACCGACTCGTCATCCACATTATCAGCTAAGTGTTGAACAAGAGCGATGCAAGAATTGTTTCTCTTTACATCTGATTTAACACTGAGGTCACCAAACACTTCCAAAATTGATTTGTTGACATTATTGACGCTTTTAAAGTTTTTCGTTTCACCCATGTGGCTTGCGGCGGGGTCCATCTTAAACACACACACAACACCACGCGGTTGCGCCTTCTACGAATGCTCACAACTGATCGACGGACGCGCCGACACTATCCAAGGCAACACAACTCCTCTTTATTGTGACGAAAGTTTCCACACCCATTATTGGGCATCAGTGGGACCTAATTTAAGCCTCAGAAAAATATTAAATTGAACTGTGTTTGTCAATCACATGAAAAAACATACTTAAGGTTGCACACTTCAACTCCTCGCCAGTTGCATCTCCATCCAACATGGCTGGACGTAGCGGGTATGATGATCCAGAACCTTGGTATGTATATATTTTGAAGTTTTACGGTGTTTTAAAAAAGAAATTAGTTGAACTAATCAGAAAATTTTACTTTACGTTTCTTTCGAACTTGCTGTCATTTTTTTTAGTATTCGGTATGATGGCAAATTTCATGGTACACCGGCTGCCGCAGGCTTGGGTACCCCATGGTTTCAGGAAATGAAATTCTTTAATGTTATTACATAGTATTCTGTGGAAAGTGCACCGCAGGAAAACTCACTTTGGAGCCAATAACTTGATTAACAGGCTTTCGAACATTATCAGGTCACGTTTAACATTTTTGCGACCTTTGGCGGTTTGGCTAGGGCATAGCTGAGGGTTAGGTTCCGTCTGTAGCGCGAAGGAGCACCCTAGAAGTGTGCATACATCCTGTTTTCCGTAGGCTAGCAATTTCTAGTAAATTTTTCCATGATGTATTCAAATTTTTTAATTTGTTATTAAAAGTTTATTTGTCATAAATACACATCTTGGGTTTTGTTTATTTTTGACATCAAGAAGATACTGTGTTTTGACTCTTCTAATTTATCCTTTTGACTTAAGTTGGGGTTTGCCTTGTATTATGCTCGTAGTCTTCTATCCAATTATCATTCTATCTCTAAATTCTCTACTATAATTTCCTTGCATGTGTGTTTTAGGGACCATGGAGGTGGTGGACGGTCAAGAGGCCGACCTTCTCGTCCCCTACCCAACGAAGCCCCTTTCACTGCATTTGTTGGGAATCTACCAAATGGCGTTGTTCAAGGGGATGTTCCAATGATTTTCAAAGGTTTGAATGTAAGTATCCTTCTGATTTGCTCCTTTTTTTCTTGCGTGTCATGTTTTGAACATTCTTAATGATTTTTATGAATTGCTTTGTTGCAGGTGAAAAGTGTTCGGCTTGTTCGTGACAAGGAGACAGATGCATTCAAGGGCTTCTGTTATGTTGAATTTGAAACAAGAGAGGATTTGGAAAGGGCACTGGAGTACAATCAAGCAGTTGCCATTGAGGGATCACTCATTCGAGTAGATGTCGCAGAAGGAAAAAGGAGTGACCGTGGTGGTGGATTTGGTGGTCGAGGTGGTAGAGGAGGAGGAGGCGGAGGAGGTACTATCATCAATCAGATTTTACAGTCAAAATGCTAAGTGTCTGTTTTCTTTTCCTAAATTTTGATTTATCCTCTCTCTGTAGGTTTTAATGATAGAGGCCCAAGAGGAGGAGATCGTGGGCCGCCTCCACGGGGTGGTGGACCAGGTGGCCCTGGAGGTCCCGGAGGTCCCGGAGGTCCCCCAGATCGGTACCCAGACTCACGCGGAAACCGAGGCATGTATGGCCATGATGAAGGCCGAGGTGGAGACTGGAACAGAGGTGGTGGAGGTGGCAGACGTGACCGCGATGGTCCTGGTGGTTTTGGTGGTGGGCGAGATGGAGGCAGAGATGGAGGCAGGGATGAGAGAGGAGCATATGGGCCGCCACGAGACAGGGAAAGGGATCGCAGGCCATTTGAAGAATTCAAGGAACCAGAGCCAAGTTAGTTTATTGATTACTTACTGATACCATACTGCCTTCCAAATTTTAAGCTGTGAGCTTATTTCATTCAAATGAATGCTTAATTTTTCTTTTCTCAGGTGCTGATGGCAAACAAAGACCCAGGCTGAAGCTGGCACCTCGATCAGTTCAAGCTCCAGTAAATGCGTTGGCTGAAACCTTACAAAGTGCTTCTATCTTTGGAGGTGCAAAACCACGGGAGGAAAAGGTGGATGCAGCTGCTGCTGCCCCTAAAGCAGAAGAAGAGCCTTAAAATGGACTAAATGTTTAAGCCTTCCACGTTTGTGAAATATTCAGGTACTTATCAATTGTATTCATCTTCCTCCTTGCAGTCCTGTTTAATTTGCTCTAGTACTAACATTTTTATTCCTGTTAGACTTGACTTTGGTATGGCAAGAGAGCATGGGTGGAGAAGACAAGGCGAGCCATCTTGTGATGATCTCAAACTTCCTAGATCGTCGTTCAACACAGCTTACTGACCTGTGCAGTAAATAGTGAGATATGGACTATCTTTATATTTAGTAACTCTTTTTATGAATAATTTAAAACGTTAATGAAAAATTCTTATTGTCATTGCCTGTTGGCATTCTTTCTGTGCATAAATGTTTTCACTTGTCAATAATGCAAGTATTAGTCCCAAACGTTACATTGCTATACAATTTTTGTGTTACATTATAAGAACAAGTTCGTTTTGTTCTTACTAATCTGCTCTTTACTTTGATTTTGTGGTTGTGTTGTTGAGGGCTGTGGCAGGCTGTGGGATAAGAGCTGGGCTCTCTGCTCTGTGCTCTTCCATGTAAACTCATTTTTGCATTTTATGAAGCTTTGATGTAGAAGTGTTACATCATATGAAATGATTACTCAGATTTTTTTGTAATTTAGTTGGACTTAAAAACACACTATCAGTAATGAATATGCCAAGAGTTTTGCTCTGACTTTTTGTGCTATGCATTCCCGAGTTGTGAGAAACTCTTTTATTGTCATGGTTATTTTGTTTCTTAAAACTGAGGTCCACTTTACCACCTTTAGCAGTTTGTGCCTTCTTTGCAAATCATGTTTTTAATGTCAATTAGATCCAAACTGGTTGTTATTAATTAATCATGCCCATTTAAACTGAATTGTATAGTTTGTCTTTCTCATTCTTAACTTGTCATTCTCAATAGGATGTAATTGTTGTTTTTGTTCTCACTTGTTTTACCTTCTCTTTTTGTTTTGAACGCTAGAAACAACACCTGATGAAATGGTTTTGTGTGATTGTAAAATACATGTTCATGCTAGGTACAATTTGAAAACCTGTTACTAATTAATAAACTTAAGTCTGATAGACTTGATCAGACTTAAAAACCTCAATATTTGACGTCAACCTATGATCCCCTTCTATTATGTTTTAACTTGATTCCTTTTGGCTATTCATATCTACGTAGTGTAATGATTGCTTGGTAAGAAGACTGTAAATCTTTTTCCGGGAATTAAATATTGTTCAGTGGTACAGTACACAAGGAGGACTATGTATGATATGTTTTAAGAGCTCTTTTAACAATTATCCATGGTTGAATAAATGGAATTTCTGTTAGGTTGCAAGAGAGGTTTTGCCTTTCTCCTTCCAATACTGCTTTGAGTGTCATTTCATCTTCAACCTTTGGTTTTGATCGTAGATCTTTAAATATTATATTATGTTCATGTTGTGTATCAACTTTCAGCTTGGGATTGGGCTGCTGTTGTTCGAACTAACAATAAATCATCAGTAGGAAAAATAATAGAAATTTTGCAATTGTTCGTTTGTTTTTGGGTTTGTTGTTAAAAATTGTTAATTGGCTGAGAGCCACGTATTCTCTGTATCGGCATCGATAGAAATCGAACCCGCGGAACACTTTGATTTAATGACGCCCGTTCAAACACCGTGGCCGCTCGTTGACTCGCTGTGCTGCTCAGAACTTTACTGGAGATAACTAGTCATTTTGTTTAGTTCTCTCTTGGAATTCGTTTATTTATTTTTTATGTAATTTTGAAGTCCTGTGTGCTGGCGTTGAAATTAAATAAAGGTACATCTGACAGATGCATTTTTAGAAATGTGGCTGTGTGAAGAGGAAAGAACTGGTCGACACTGTTTCAGACTACACCAAACATTTAATTTCTAGTATTATTTTTTTTAATGAAAATTGATTACCTAGTTAGAACAAAATGGAATTGCGGTCACGTCACGATCTAACGGAGACAAGTAATCAAAATGCCGCTATGGCGTTAAGCAGTTTAGCTGTCTAGCTTCCTAGCTCATGATTTTCATGCGGCGCGCGCTTTTGGAAAGGTTAAGTAGGGGTTAGTTTTAGTTGCGCAGTGGAAGGCGGAGGAGGGCAGTTGTTCGTACACAGTTTAGAGGGCGCTGAAGTTACATTAAGAGCAAGAAATGGATTCTGACATTTCGTTCAGATTTGTAAAATGGGACTTTTAAAGAGAAATAATGTACTGTAGCGCATACAAAGTTACACTAATCGCAAAGAAATGGTCGTGCATTCGTTTCCTTAAGATGATCTTATGGTTTCATTTGTAAAACACGTTGCCAGCACAAATAAAAGTCGATAATTTACTAGGTATGTCGGCTGCTAGCAGACTACAATCACTCTGGTCAAGACCAAACATTTCTTAATATTTGTTATAGCTGCTTATAATTTCAATCAACAAAACCGCCCGTGCTAGATAGTAAACCAGCAGAATTTTCTTGTTTCTGAACACTGTTTTTCAATGTTTTTTGCTGTTTTCTTTGTGGATATTGTCAGCTCAAATGCTCAAAATTTTGTTATTGTTTCAATCATACAGATTTTCCGCTTGTCACATAATATTTTAACTGATTAAATTGTACATGAATTTGTGATATAAAAAAAAGTGTGATTCTTGCAGATATTTAACCTACACTTTACTACTTTTTTTTCAGAGCTATGTTTGAGTTTACATATAAGGGTGTAAACATTTCTGTTCCAAGTACCGGAGGTAAAGAATGTGCCAACTATTTACCTATGCAGAGAAGGGCATGGGAAACAGTTCTTGGGATAGCATTTTCTGGTCTGTTAATTTGGTTTGGATGGAAGAATCTACATCCAGTTTCAAAGCCATCTTCACTACAATGGAGAGATCGTTTTGGACGAAACATTTTGCTGGTTTCAATGTGTCTTGTGATTGGATGTGAAATTGGGTTTAAACTGCAGGCCCAAAGTACAATTTTTCTTCTGAACCCATGTCATGTCACTACAGCAATACAGGTATGTCAATTGTAATCTATTTTTTCATTCAGACTGTTAGCTATATAAAATCTCTGTCCTGTTATAGATTTACCTTTTGGCGGGACAGCCAAGCAAAATGCTAACATCTGCCTTTCGAATTCACCTCAATTTTTTGAATGGCCCCATACTTGCAACAGTGTTTCCAGAAACACTATCTAGACAGGTAACAATTAGTGCATGTGTTTTTTTGCATCTATTTTTCATAATCTCTGTTTCTAGCCAGAACACACAGTCTTAATAGGGTCATTGTAGGGATTCTGAATGATTTTTCCAGACCTCTATGGTGCTATCTTAAAAGACCATGTTTTGACCGAAAACATTTTAAAATCATTGTTTTAACACAATTTTGAATTTTTCACTTGGGTTTTGACTTGACACAGGCTCTGAATTTTTTTTGTCTCCAGTTACCGTGTGAGCTGTTTGTATACTGGGCACAACATGGACTAATGGTGATTGCACCTTTTTATATGCTTCGTCTTGGAGGTCAGTGCACACATGTTACAATGTAGAGAATATGATTAATGCAGGAAGCAGTCTGCAATGTGAGGCAGCAGGAATATATACCATGTAATTTTTATCGTAGGTGTATACAATGTGGAACCCATTACTGATCTGAGCTGGTGTCTTTTCTCATACGGGTTGCTTATTATGTACCATTTCGTAATTCTCCAGGGATTGGGATTGGTATGTAAATGGTTTCATTGCTTGTCATCTTCTTCTTCATATTATTATTACTGCGTTGCATTACAGTACATGAATTTATTTATCTATTTTCTTCTTCTGCAGCCCTCTGAAATAAATCTGAATAAGATGCTGTGTCCTGCATCTAAAGATCCATTTTCAGGCCAAAATTACCGAATATGGGGAACTCTTCACCAGATGTTACTCTGTCCCCTTGCATGCAAATTATTTATTGTTGGTGCAAAGTATATTCTCACCGAATGCAGTTACACCAAGGTCAAAGAACAACTTCAAGATGAATTACCTCCACCAATAGACCTCGCAAAGTCTAAAAAACAATCGGAAGACTAAAGCACTGTGATTATTATCTCTTTATTCTCTCTAAAGAACATTATGAAGTGCCCCCTTTTAACTATCTAGATTTTTCTTCTTCTTTTAATGTTAAAATTGCAATATTTATCTGAAAATTAATTTCTAAACTTTAGTAATACAATTAGAACAATTTCGGATGGGTCAAAGACAGAAATGCTGATTGGTGTGTATGTTCATTTCACATTAAAAGAAACAAATTTAGCAGTGACTTTTTTGAGTGTGTTTGTGCGTGTGCTATGCACTTTTGCGAATGGTTTGGGTATTAAATTAAATAAATAAGGGTAATTGATATTGTTAATACACTTTTTAAAGATGTCTTACAGTTTTTAATAGCTTGGTAAATGTTTTCAATTAATAATTCTTCAGGAACTTGAAATTATGTTCCAACTATGGTGTTTTTCCTCCTTATGGCCAAAGCAGCCATGTGCCTTATTCCATGAAGGCTGTGCTTAGGTTTATTTTGGCATAGCGTGATATGCCGTAAACAAACCACACTCCAAAAAAAATTATTGGAGGAAAGTAATGTGATGGTTTATAAAAGTGAGACATGTTGCTATACTCAGAATCTTCTGAGTAATTGATCACAACAAAATCATAATGCTAGTCAGTCCATTGTTAATGAACATGTTAATGTGTTCCTATTAGACTCCGTCTTACAAGACTAAGTGATCTCTGTTTCTTTTATACTGTTGGCTAAGGTAAAGTAAAGCAATTTTAATCACACTTGAAACCACTCTTGGTGCGGAATCTCATAGTATACATTCCTGCGTTGAATGTAATCTTTCAAAACTCCCCAGTCTGTTGTTAGGGGAGAGAGTTATTGATTTGTATGTTTAATATTACAAATTAGCCGGTGGAATGATTCTCACTGTGTATGGTGACCATTCCATTAATAATCATTGTCTCAAATGACAATATGTAGCCTTGATAAATTTGCTATTTCACTAGTCTTTATGCACAGTATTTCCACTATGACACACATGATTTGTTTCTTGTGTACCATGATTGCCTTTCATCAAGACGTTTTGTATGTTCATATAAACTTGTTGACAAATATAAATAGCACTTTTATTTTGCACTTATTTTGAAAAGAGATAAAAAAGGAATGTTTTTTTAAAGCACATGAGCAATGAGTTTTACAGAGTATATTTATTAAAACTTCAAGCAATGGTGTAGAAATGTTGTTTAAGTAATTTGTCTGGGCTTAGGTGAAATATTTCACTCATGAAAGTGAAAGCAACGCAATTAATGAGAAAACCTGAGGATGGCAAAATGTGTTAGTTGTGTTGTCAATGCACCTCTTTGTGCTTTCATGGGTAGCATGGTAAAAGTAGGTACAAATCAAAGAATATTCTAAGTTAATTTTATGCATAGTGCTGCCAGCCAGGGCGCGAACTTATTGCTTGGTAGGCATTTTTTGCATAGTGTGGAAAATGGAATGTACCACTTTTATTGCTCACTGCACTGCAAGTAATTTGAATTGGAGATACTGCCAATTAGGATGATAAATCAGGTGGTTTGATTGAAAAAAAATAAATAAAAAAGGACGTTCTTCATATGATCCAAATATATACCGACCTTTCCCCAACTATTACCTTTTGAAAATACAATGTTGGAACTAACATCTACAAATTGTTAATTACAAAGGGTATAGTGTTCCTTTTGCCTGCTTACTCTGAGAGTACTTGTTCTGCAAAGTTCACATTTCCATTAAACTTTTAGGTTATCAATGCTCATTGTATCAGAGAAGAATATTTTAGTAGATCCAAAGAAAAATGAAACTGCCCTCCTGCAGTTGTGAGTAGCAATGCCTATTTACCAGGGATCAATCATTAAAATGATTTGGATAAGTTTTATTCATCATCCTTGTTGCCTAGCTTTCTAAATACATACCTACCTTCTTGTTTAAATCATGTGATGCTTTTCTATTGTCAATGTGTGTATAATAAGGGGTGTAACAAATCACAAACTGATCAATTTCATTGACTGTCCTTTCAACTGTGTGAATAAAGATTCTTCCATTCCAAAATTAAGAATATTCTTTGGAGCACTGGCGCCCTTAGAAAGACCATAAAATTAAGTCTCATTTTATTTAAGAATAAACTTAAGACTTATAGTTCAAAATTTTAAAATTGTTCTTGGATAAAATGAAAAGAACAAACACAAATATCTTTTTCAAATCTTTATAAAAATTTAATAAGCGTAACTGAAACAGTCTACAACATTTGAACACTAAAAATAATATTAGGTAATAAATAAAAGCCTAAACAAACATAAAAAATTCTAATCATCACTGCTGACATCGCTGCTAGGACCATAATCATCATCAGAATTTGAATTGATTTCAAGACAAGAAGAATCCATCTCTTTCAAAGCATTCTTTTTGAATCGAGCATATGCAGCCCCATACAAATTGATGTCACTAGGTGAAAGCTCTTCAGTGTAAATAAGTTTTTCATCATCACCATCACTACTCAGCTCTTCATCTCCTAGAAAATAAGGATAGTAATTGTAATATAATACACAACACGACAAAAACTGTAAACTGACGGATTACAAGATAATCAACCCACCAAAAGTAACTTTACTCAAGCCACGAGCAAGACCATCTTCATCATTACTGAAAATTAAGATTCAGTTGTTATTTAGAATGAGAGTCCTGCAAATACCTGATTTATTGGGAAAATACTCGTACCTGTCACCTTCTTCATCATCAGGATAGTCATTCCTCCAATTGTTCTCATCGTTTGAATCATCATCATCATCCATTAAGGGTGAGTCAGAATCACTGTCTTCACCTGCAGCTCTGTTATTCCGATAAGTGTCAAAGACAAGCTCGTTTTCAACAGGGGCAAAGCTAAAATTAGGGAAGACATTTTCAGATACGGACTAATGCAAATGCTCATTTAGGAAACACAGGAGGAGACATACCTTACCAACCCATCCAACAACAAGTCGTCTACATCAATATCTTTGGAATCAGGTTGAATGTAATACAAATCATAGACATATTGGGAGGAGGGGGCTTCGTGATCTATACTTTCCTTTGCTGGATCTGATTTCTGAAGACAAAGGATTTACAATAACAACGCTGCAAGCGTAATTCGGGAGAAAGGGGTGGTGGGGTGGGCAAACAACGCTCCCCACCCAACTCCCCTCGCCCCAACCACACTTGAAAGATTTCTATCCTGGATTCACCTCTACAAAACTTGATTAACTAAATTGGTTGGTTCAACAGAATAATTAAAAGTTGATCACAATATTTACCTTTTCTCCTTTGGGTTGAGCTTCAACTTCTAAAATGGTGATAGATTTTTGAATTCCTTCATTAGAACTTTCAGTTTGATCTACTTCATTGATGGTCCGGAAATAATTTACAAGCTGCGCAGGCAGATACACGATTTTTCACAATAACCAACAGCCGTGATAAAAAGACACCCATAATAATAAACTTATTCTATTTTACCATACCTTAAACCGATTATTTTCAGAGGTTGCCTTTGTATCACTTCGTGCTTTTTGGGATACGTTAGGAGTTGGTCTGCTAGATTTTTTAACATCCTGCTTACAGATTTTATCGTGTGTGAGAAGGGCAACATTTTCTTTCTGAAATAAATGAATCACAAGTTAGGTTTCAGTGCTACTGTAAGGACCACGGACCATGGGTATGGAATAGGTTAGGACAGTCTATGACGAGCAAAAAACCGTGATGACAGATCACTTACTTGATCTTTAACGGTACCCGCAAACGTAAATAGAGTTTCAACAGCATCCTCATCTTCGACATTTGTTTTCCTTCGTTTGCACGAGAGAATTAACGCCGAACTTGGCTCCTCGTCAAGAGCGCGCTTAACCCGTACGACTGCCGCCATCGCTCGCTGTTTGAATGACTGATGACTGACTGTTTGTTGTTTGTTTTGTTTGTTTGGTTATATGGGAGATCGGGGGGGGGCAATGCTGCCAACTCACACCAGCGAACAGCAGGGCTGGTGGTGTAGAGTCCTGTCTCAGTAGATTTTTCAAAAATATAAAAATAAGATTCGGCCTAGCAACCGACCGATTGAGTTTCCAACGCAAACGCGCGAAAACGTTTTAAAGTGAACCTTTCCCCACACTGTTAGCGCCTGCTGCGCGATGGGCTGGCCAGCCCGCCAAGCGCCAAGCTTCCGCGCGGTTTTGAGGGGCGCTCCTTCAGTGACACACGCGACACATTTTTGGATATATATTTTGACTAGCATTATTTACTCTCGATGTGTACAGAGAACCAAGCGCAGACCAGAGAACAATTTCTTTGGCGATGCGGTGGAGTGCGCGTGAGTGCTGTCTGGCTTGTCTGGCTCAGTGTCGCGTCGCGCTGGGCGCTATCCCTTCCCTAACAATACGAGTCGGGAGCAGGACCCGTCCTTGCCCAACAATACTGGGCCACCGGCCCGGCCACTGTGCCCGCCCCTTGCCTCCTCCTCTACGCCGCTAGTACGCCGAATTACAAGATTACAAGTAACAAGCAGCCATAAACAAATAATGACACCTAAAGAGGGAGAAAATTAGAAAACATACCTATATTCTTAAATTTGTATCATCTGCTTTCAAGATCGATTCTTGAATGAGAGTTTGTTTTGAAAGGCGGAAAGTATGTGATCATTGTTCTGTAACAAACATTGAGATGCAGCGTTCATTACGTTCGTGAGCCGCTTCGCATCACAACTCACACTCACAGGGCGGGCCGCCGGCTCCACGCAGCTGCTTGGCGGGCTGGCCTACCCGACGCGCTGCAGGCGCTATCGGATGTTGCACACCGACGAGCCGCAGTGTTTGTGCAACCGACCAATTGCAAACACTGCCGAGGAGCCAGAGGGAAGATAACTGGAATAAATACTTGTACCGGGTGTATCATCCAAGCGGACGATGCAGTATTGCGTGCGAGTATGCAAGCCGCCTGCATCGCCCTGCATGCGGTACAGCATATCAAACATGACGGAACCCTGTACAACGAGTATGTGAATATCCCGTAACCAATACTTCTCAAAACAAACTGAAGCCGGGGCACTACCTGGACGGAGGAGGAATCAGAAACACGTGTGCAACGTTTGCTTACGGGGCACCTCTAGCGGCCTTTCTGCTCCTGGCTCCAGGAGGGTCGTTCCACCCGCGGCTAAAACTCGAGAGCCTCGGAAGCTCGGAAGTTTAGGAGGATGTCGAAGCGTGTGGCCTACCCCGCCTGTCTTATCAGCTGAGGAGAGGCCAACTATTGTCGGGAGCACACGGTGCGGCGAAACACGGCGGAGCCCCCCTCCTCCGCCCCGCCCCCTCCAGCGGGGGCAGGACTTTTCTCTGCAATTCATCTGTGTCCCGCAGCGGCCGAGCTGGCACGCCCAACGCAGACTCCCTTTCTAGAGCGAGAACCGTGATGGAGACGTCGTGTTCGTCTGCTCGGCGCCACAACACGACTCAACGACGCCGGCGGTGCATTGGACGCTTTCAAATTAAGGGATTGACTTCCCTGCTGACCTGCACCAAAGACGAAAGTATCGATCGAGCTAGGTGATCGTCCTTGAAGTATACGCGTCCGTTTTTCATAGATTCATTCGGCATACAATGAGAGCTCGGCGCCTGCGAGACACCGGGTAGGCCAGCCCGCAGTACGCGCATGCACTACAGGCAAGATGTTGCATACCTACCAGGCGTTTACGAGAACTTTCAGAGGCTGAACTTAGCAGGTTTCTGCCGGTGAATGACGGGTGTACTTTCTGGATGATCCAGGGCAACTACTGTCCCCCGGTCATGCCGCCGTCATGAGGCAAGCGTTCGAGTCTGCGGAGGTTCCTGCCCCCTACAGCCATCCCCGCCCTTATCTGCAGCTCTGGAGGAACGCTCCGCTGCTCGGCGACGCTCGCGTACGTACGCCCCTGGACAAAAGCCCCGCAGGCAGGCAAGGGGAGCCCATGTCCCGGCTGCAGGCGGGGATCTCATGAGCCGAATATCCCCATCTTGCCCTCTGCTTCGCACGGCCTCATCCCGGCCGAGACCCACCAAGATTGGCTGTAGCAAAGGCAGAAGCCCCCTCCCCTCCCCCGGACCAGTCAACCCGAAAAAGTAATCGTGACACTGACCTTAGCCTAACCGTGAAACAAAAACGACACGGTAAAGACAATTCTTGGCTGAAGAGAGTCGAGTGCCAGCGCCGATGGCCTAGAATCTATAGAGCAGTCGGGGTCATTATTTCAGTCGCCCTCCTGGAAGTAGTCATATAGAAGGTGCCTGAGGTATCATACAGAAAGTACGTCCATCATCTACAGCTATGAACCTGGCAAGCTCAGCCTCTGAAAGCTCTCATAACGCCTGGTAGGCAGGCAACATCTTCCCTGCAGTTCATGTGCGTACTCCGGGTTGGCCTACCTGGAGTCTCACAGGCGACGACCATGATTTGCCGAACGAATCTGTGAAACCCGCGACACACGATGTTTGCCGGCTAAGCCAGATGGGGTGGGGACGAATAGCTCCTATTTTCCTAAGTATACTAAATTGTGCGTGCCACGTCCTGAGGTACCAACAGAGTACGTGTGAGATTTGAGTCTCACACTGTTAAAAGCCTGCGAAGTATTTTGCTCCTTTGTAACTACGAAGCATTTACTTTGCAATTACAAGTGATGCTTTGCAATTTCGAAGTGACACTTTGCAATTGCAAAGCGATGCTTTGCAGCGTTTTCATTGCTTTGCAATTGCAAAGCATCACTTTGTAATTGCAAAGTAAATGCTTCGTAGTTACAAAGGAGCAAAATACTTCGCAGCTCTGCAAAGCAAATGCTTTGTAGGAATTTAACAGTGCAGTCTTTTGAGATTTGAGAATTAGTCAGCTTTTGAGCTGAGTTTTGTAAAAATTATGTACTTATATCGATGTATTGTCTAAAAAATCAGAGGTTTTCGTACCCCCCCCCCCCTCTCCCCCCATGTGACTTGGCCGGCAAACACACGCCCGCCGGCCACGGCGCGCAGCCGGAGCTACCCCTACCCCTAATGGTGGCAAAGCGGAGGCCTTAGCCCCCCCCCCCCCCCCGGCCGGAGGTCGTCGGTCGCGACGGGATATTTATGGGCGCGCAAGTTGCCTAGTGTGGCTCTGGGCGCTAAGACTAGGTCTCCATTGTCAACCCGACCGTATTTCTTCCTTTTGTCCTTCTTCCAGGTGTAACGGTGCGTGCAAGTGTGTCCTGCCCTCTGGAGGGGGAGAGGGCGGGAGAGAAACTCTTCCGCAGAGCCACGCGCGCACCCCTCGCGGAGCCTCTCCCGGCCCGGCCGCCCTGACTGCTCTCCACTCGGGGCAGCGCCCCTTTCCTCTCTCTTCCTGCTCTTCCTCACCCTAGTCCGACCTCTCGACCTCTCTCGAAAACCGTGTGAGAAACCATTGGTTAACCGGAACGAAGGAACCGTTAAAATTTTCGGTGTCCGCTATAAACAAAAATCACATTGAAAAATGTGCTAAATTTTTAGCACGGTTACAAAAATTATAAAAATGAAACATTTAATTTGACAAAGACACACTCCGTGGTCGAGGTTCTTCCTTCCTCGTGCTCTCGCCACGCTCTGACGAGCTCTGCACTCTTACCCCCGCCGCTCTGTGCACGGGATATATATCGTCGCATTCTGACTGGCCGCCCGCGTACGTGCGTCGGGCATCCATTTCCGTCCAATTTCTCATACTCGGTCTCTCGCTCTCCACTCTGGGACTGACGCCCCTCCCCTCGCCCTGCGCTGATTGTGACCCATTTCTTTGCTTGACTCGCTCATGACAGAAGGGTTATGGCGTCGTCCGTCTGGGCGGAGTGTTGGAGTGTTCTACGAGGTGTGGTCGTAGACCGGGGGGCGGGTCCGCGTCGAGGACACGTTCTTCGCCCCGTCCACCCCCACCCCGTGACACCCACCCAAACCGGCACCCTTTCACCCTACCTACACCCTCCCTACCCAGGCGAGTATAAGGGAGGGGGGGGGGAATCACCCCACTGAGGCCCACTAGATAGCCGCCTAAGGTAGGCAATTTGACCTACAAAACCCCTAGGCAACTTTCAATATACCGCCCCCCTGTCCGCCTCCTTAATACGCCCCTGCCCCTACTTGTATGAATGCTGCTGTGAGTTACCGCGGGGAGGATGGGGGGGGGGGCGTAGAGTTTGCAGAATAGAACTTCAGTTTGTTGGCAAAAGAAGAAGGAAAGTAGATCTAAACCGGAATCAGGCGCGGAAATCTGGTTCTTTTCTTTCTTCCACTTCACTTATCCTCTCACGGAGATAAATTGAAATGGTGCGAAAACATCACACTGCCCAAGGAAGGTTTGTAGTTGTCACGCAAAGTCACGCGAGGTCTCATTCACACCACGCCTTGATCCTGATCCGCCTTGGTGACACCTCGACGACATCAGTCAACGCTGGAGGGAGGCGGTCGATCGAACGCCCCCGCCCGCTTCGACAACATCCACCTCACCACACTCGGTGCGCCCAGGGGTGTTGAGTACCCGCGAGCAGGTCGAACGGGCGCTGGACGCGGGGCAGGGCTGGCACACAGTATCCTCTCTTCTCCCGGCCGCAGTCTCTCTGTGCCCCCGTCGATCTGGCCGCTCTGAGCGAGACGGAGGAGGACGTCCCACTCTTGGGAGGTGCAGCCGCTCTTTAACGCCGAGCACCCCTGCTGTGTTTTCGTTCACTCTGCCGTGCGCCGGTGCGTCGAAATGAGCTGCTCTGTCGTCGCGTCTAGGGTACTCCGCAGCACAACGCCCCCGCCCCGCGCTCACAACACATCACCGCGGTAGCTCTTGCTTTGCCGGCATCAGTGGGTGCGGCACGACGTGGGGCGAGGCGGGGGCGGGGCGGGCACTGCAGAGCCGTTTAGGATACAGCAGCACCGAGGGCGGGTGTGCGTACGGCAGTAGAGGGCCCGGGCCCGCGCCGACCCATACCGCGGGTGCGTTTGAAGCCGACCTCAGTCACCCCCCCCCCCTTTCCCCTCGTCTCGAACGGCAGAGGGAGAGAGAGAGAGAGGGAGAGAAAGGGAGAGAGAGCCTCCATTCTCAGCCAGTCGTAAAAACAGGCGGAATCTAGGACGCCCTTTCTCTGCCTCGTCCCTATGCCGCACCCCTCGCCCCCTCCCCCTCCCCCGTTGCCTCATCTTTAGTGGGTGAAGACTTGAGAAATAAAAGACAACAGACTGTAACAAGAGAAATGAGAACGAGACATCCAAGTAGCTGAAGAAGTGGGAGGGGGTGCTCATGAATATGCAGGTGGGCCGCTGCCCCTACACCACCGCCCCGCCCGCACGCCCGGTGTAAGCCACCTCCTCACCGCCCCGACCGCCACCGAAGAAGAAGTACCGCGCCCGCCACCCCCTTTGCAGTCGGGGGCGGGCATCAGAGGTCAGTGAGAGAAACGCGCTTCAACGACGAGCGACTCCCCAACAAAAGACTTCCGAAACGTCACAAGGACGTCATATTTACGTCCAGACTAAATCAGGTCTTCAAAAATTAGGCGTAATACGTCTGCTGACGCGTTCCACCTACACGAGACGTCTGTTGGCGCTGGCGCACTATCCCCCTGTCTGATCAAGGAAAACTAATCGAGGACTAATCAATTATTGTGCTGAATATGAAAATTTCCGAAATTCAAGGAAAGGCACCATCTTATGTGGCAACGAGTGCGCGTGTGTTTGGG